TTTTTTTTTTTTTTTTTTTTTTTTTTGGCTTCACATCATCTATGAACAATTTTAACCTTTTGTGAAATTGAGGATTTAATTGGAGAAAAAAAAAACAATACAAAGAGATAAGTTGAAACTCTTAAAACATAAGAAATTGAAATATGCTATAGATATATTCAAACATCTGGCTATAGAGTTGATGCTTAGTTTGTTTTTGTCCTTCAGATTGGTATTCATGATGAAAGTTAGAATTGAAATGAACATTAGATTTTCCGATTCGTTGTTTGAAGTTAATTAGGTTTCAATGTTTCAGGTTTTGCCCGTGATGATAATGGGTGCGTTCATACCCGGCCTTAGACGAAAGTATCCAGCTCACGAATATGTTTCGGCTGTACTTTTGGTTGTGGGTTTGATCATCTTCACATTAGCAGATGCACAAACATCTCCGAACTTCAGTATTCTTGGTGTGATCATGATATCGGGCGCTCTAATCATGGATTCGTTTCTTGGTAATTTGCAAGAAGCCATCTTTACCATGAATCCCGAAACGACACAGGTGTGGATCCTCATGTGCTATATTCTTGTTTCTGTGGTTGTTTACATGTGATAATAAATTAATTCCAAAGTAACCAAACAGATGGAGATGCTGTTTTGTTCGACTGTCGTTGGCTTGCCTTTCTTGATCCCGCCCATGCTTTTGACAGGAGAATTGTTTAAAGCATGGACTTCTTGTTCTCAGGTAACAGTTAGCTCTCTCTCTGTCTCTCCCATTTTCACCGCCTAATTTGCTGAGGAAATACACGTTCTGAGAATACAATACGACGTATTATGCAGCACAAATACGTATACGGAGTGTTGGTTTTTGAAGCCATGGCAACCTACATAGGCCAAGTCTCTGTTCTTTCACTCATTGCCCTATTTGGGGCAGCTACCACAGCCATGGTAAATATTCACTTCTTAAAACCTATGTCACTTTACTTGCCACTCCTACATGTGCTAAGTTATGGAGTTTTCAATGCTCTTTCAAGCATCTCATAAATGTCCATAGCTTTTTCTTTCATCCATGCCTCTCAGTTTCAGCATTCCAAAGAGGATATGATCATTGAATCTAATTGAGTGCATCTGTTGAATTATGATCCAAGTCTTAGTTTAATCATGAACTTTCCTATTAGTTTTCTCTAATCCTTAAATTTTCAAAATATTGTCACAAAACGCCGCATAAAAGTCGTTTGAAATCTCGACGTCTAAGGCCTCATTTGATAACCATGTGATTTTTTGTTCTTGGTAAGCGATTGTAGAGAAAATGTGAGAAAATAAACACAATTTCAAAATGCATCATACGGGGCTTTAAAAGACGTGTCTACATTAAATTTCCTAGGACTATTAATGATTGAGAATAGGATTGAAATTTTGAATTATTATGATCCTACTAACACCTCAAAACAATTGAATTCTGTCACAGATAACAACAGCTAGAAAGGCAGTGACATTACTTCTATCTTACTTGATATTCACAAAGCCATTAAGTGAACAACATGCGACGGGTCTACTACTCATAGGGATGGGGATCACACTGAAGCTCTTACCCGATTACAAGCCGAAAAACAGAGCTTTTCCGAGTACCGAGAGTTCAAGACCTGCTAACATTGACAATGAAATGGCAGCACATCAAATAAGAAGCGAAAAAGATGAAGAAAGAAGGCCATTGGTTTAAATTAGGATCCTATTTATTGTTCTTATTTCCAACTTTCAATTTATAAATGCAAGATGGATGCACTTTCAACCATACGGTTCCAAGATATTACCTAAGATTTCCTGTCTCAAACTTCTAAATTGTCTGATCAAAACAATGAAAAGATAACTTATAGAACATAATTTAACCAAAGGCCCAGCTCAAGATTAAAGATGTTCACTAGAGAAATTGTGGTCTACAAAAAAAACTCCTATTAATTTCAATGGTAGTAACTAACAAATTAAATTAAGCAGCAACAAAAAACGACTTACAGAACAGGAAGACTTTGGAGATGCAATGAAAGCAAGCTATGAGTTCCTCGTTGAACCATGTTTTGCTTAATCAACTATAGGTGCAGCATCAAAGGCTTCTCTTGCTTCAAGTACATCAATGCTATATCGCTTGGAAAGAAGTTCAACTTGTTCAGAAAATGACTTGTTGCCATTATCACCTATGTGTTTGACCATTTGAGACCACCGCTTTCTACATATATCACCATCCCTATGCTCAAGCAGTTGGTCCCATTCCACATCTTCGATGGAGACAGCGTCCAAGCTGGACAGAGCATCGACAAGTCGGTAGTCATCGACATCTTCCCAATCACCCTCAGCAACCATTGGTGACGTTAACTGGCGATACCATTTCATGCAGCAAAGAGCATTTGATCTCGTGGCCAACTTGTCGCTAATTGCTCCCCAGCAGATGTTGTCACGTAGCATTCCGTGCTTGGATATTTTTTCTTCGGAAGCCTTGTTTCGCAGGTCTGTGTTAACTAGATCAAATAATTTCTGGTACTCGTCTTGTGTCCAACGTCCTTTCTTCATATTGGTGAGTTTTATTCGTCGCCATGTATCTTTCACATGAAACCTATGTTTTCCAAGAGCATCAGCCAATCCTTTCCAATCCGATCCATATTTTTCATGAAACTTTCGGACAATTTCATATTCCTCGGGTGTCCATTTACGCGACTCGTCCCTTTCAAACAAGATGTGAGCTCTATAGTATACACTCAAATAAGGTCTGTAAGGTAAGGATTTTCCTATGTCCTTCCAACAATTTTTCAGTTCAGGAAACTCCCTACATTTAAGAACCTTTTTGAGACCTTCATCGCCAAGCCCGTGTTCATGAATGTATTGCATGACAGCCGTTTTAACTATCTCATCTTCTTCTTTGGAAAACCGCTTGCCTCTTATTAAACCATCATCTTCTTGCTTAGTATTTTTTCTACTTTTGCCATCATCTTCTTGCTTAGTTTTTTTTCTGCTTTTGCCATCAGCTATTGGAAAAATCTCAACATCTTCTGAAAATCTGACTTTCTTAGATGATCCCTTGGGAGAAGGTCGTTCAGAAGGACCAACAACGTCCTCGTTCTCTGTCAATCCTGCTCCTCCTTCACAAACCTTCTCTTGTGATGCACCTTCAACATTCTTAGTTTTCTTCTTCTTCTTCTCCTTCTTAATATGTAAAGAATTGTCTCTAGAATCCTCAGTTTTTTGTTTCTTTTTCTTCTTCTCCTTCCCTCCATCTGGCCCTCGTTTACGATTAGATGATCCCTCGGGAGAAAGTCTTTCAGAAGGACCACCAATGTCCTCGTTCTCCGTCAATCCTATTCCTCCTCCATGAACCTTTTCTTGTGATCCACCTTCAACATACTTGGTTTTCTTCCTCTTTTTCTCCTCCTTAATATGTGAAGAACTTTCTTTAGAATCCTCAGTTTTTTGTTTCTTTTTCTTTTTCATCTTCTCCTTCCCTCCATCTGGCCCTCTTTCATAATTAGATGATCCCTTGGGAGAAAGTCTTTCAGAGGGATCACCAATGTCCTCGTTCTCTGTCAATCCATCTCCTCCTTCATGAACATTTTCTTGTGATCCACCCTCAACATACTTAGTTTTCTTCTTCTTCTTCTCCTTCTTAATATATAAAGAATTGTCTCTAGAATCCTCAGTTTTTTGTTTCTTTTTCTTCTTCTCCTTCCCTCCATCTGACCCTCTTTCACAATTATCTCCATCAATGCCCTCAGACAACTTAGCTTTTTTCTTCTTTTGCTTTTCCATTTCCTTGTCGTTCTTTACGCAAGTTTCTGTCTCGGTTTCTATTTCTTCATTCTTTGCCCACGGTTCTGTCTCAGATTCTGTCTCTTCTTTTTGCTCGTTCTTATGGGTTTTATGTTCTTTCTTCCTCTTCTTTTTCTTCTTCTCTACGTCATTCTTTTTATCTGGACCATCAGGCCACTTAGTCTTTTCTGACCTTTGCATCTGCATTTTGTCATGAGTCACATCTTCATCTTGAGCAAACAATTCTGGAGTTGTCATCTAATACAAGAATATAAATGTGTGAGCAAGTAAAAAATAATAGCAACAACAACAATAATAATGATATGTATCTACATCTACATCTATCTATACTTCACATAAAAGTGCCGAAAATGGAGAATCTTTAGGTTCCCTTTAAGCCCTCCACACTTGGGACTAATTATCCTAAATATTTTCTTTAACTTTGTAAATCAAGTACATGAGTACAGAGTCTATAGACAAGCTCTTATTACCAGTAAACTCGAAGAAACATTGTTTATTGCATTATTTAAATTTTTTTATAAGAAAAAAATTCAATGATACATGAAACTACAAAAGAGGCAGAGACCCTCTATAGGGAGATTTACAAAAGATTTCTCCAATTGAAAAGGAGGGAGATTGTGATGTGATGAGAAAGAAGAGAACATCTTCATCAAGCCACAACCCTGTTAACTATAGCATCAAAAACCTACTAAAGGAGTATTCCTTATCCTGGAAAATTCCCAAATGTTCCAGAAATATGCACTAATAAAATTCTACCAAAGATGCTTCTTATCTCTTTTGGAGGGATGACCTCCTAAAGTAAGCGAGAGAAGTAGCTTAAGATCATCTGGCAGTGTTGTTTGCCATTGAAAGATTAACAGTAAATGGTTCCAGAATGCCTTTGCAAATTCACAATTAATCAGGAGGTGAGGTTGTGTTTCTGAACTATGTTTGCAAGTAGAACACCACTGTGGAGATAGATTCCAAGTGAGGCATCCTTCTTTGAAACTTGTCATTCGTGTTGATGGCCTTGTAGGAGAGTTTCCGGGTTTCTTAGGGTCGATCTTTCCATATCACTACCCTAAACTCAGTTTCTCAACTGACAAGCTTGTTATTCTTTCATTTTTATCGATAAAAGCGTGGTTTAAATAAAGTTGTGGTGAAGCATTGCTATTTGTAGGAGAAAGATCGTGCAAAAGGGAGCTGATGGTAAATGTTCAATTTGGCTGCAACTTCCAAAAGCACTAGCTAATCCTTTGTGATAGAGTGACCGAATCTAAACTTGCAGCAGGGGTGCATAATCCTCAATCTCAACATCTATCTGGTTTCTTCTTAGTCCAAGGTTTCATCATTCAGCATGCCACATATCTTTAACTGCCCCTTCTTCACTAAGAGAGAGATAAAAATAAAAGGAAATTTTCTTCCCTCGGCCAGATATCTTTCCAAAAGGAAGTGTTTGCTCCATCACCAATTATGTATGTCAATCAATCATGTATGAGGGAGCAGAAATTCAGAATGGTTTTCCATTGACCTTTGGCGGTGTTAAGGGAAGGACTTCCCAGTTTTGCGTTGCGAGATCGCATTGGTTAATAGGAGGGAGACAATTTCAGTTTAAAAATAAAAAAGTAAGAAGAACTAATTGTCTTCTATCCAACTACAATCTACGAATATATAAATCTATCCAACTACAATCTATAAAAATAAAAAGTTCTTCGGTCAATCCAAATAACTCTTACAAGTTAGGAATTAGAACAAAATTGAATGACAGATTATTTCAACCAATTCTCTGATAAATAAAGAAGAAATGCTGAAAACTTCAACATGTCAATTTTCAGCAGAGACCAAAGAAATATACAGATAGCCTCGATTGCCAGATCTGCAACAAATCTATTCAGCAAGATCAAAAAAATATACAGATAGCCTCGACTGATAGATATATGCAACAAAGCAAAAGGCAGTTCGAAAAGAAAACGCATATTGCCGCGAGGTTTTGTTCGTTGCTATTCACAACTACTCACTATTGCTATTAAGAAAAGAGAAAAACAAAAACAAATCCTCCATTCTTTCATTAGACAAGTTCTAATTTGTGTTCATCAGGAGAGACGAAAAGCATAGACGTAACTCGGGAGAATACTAGTGACAACAAGAGAGTAGACAGTGCAAATGAAACTCACTAGGAGGAGGCTGCGGAAGAAACACGGCGGCGGCAGCACTGAAATGGAGGAGGAGATAGCGGCGACACCTGCGCTCCTGCAACGAAGGATGAGACGGCGTGAAGAATGGTGGAGGAAGTGAGAAGAACGGTATTAGGGATTCCACATTTTATTTATTTTTAGACAAAATAATTTAAAATATATTTAGTTTATTTCATTAATATTCTTAATTTAAAATATTTCAAATGATTTTTCCAAAACACAATTTCCATTAAAATGAATTATACAATACAAAAATTTATTCAATAATATTTAAAAATTTAAAAAATATACTACGCTAAATAATAATAATAAGTAAATAAATAAATAAAATCCAACCCCAAATAAAATGGACTAACCCACGAGAAAAATCGAGCAGAGAATATGGGCCCAAGTTCCCTAGTCAGCTTTATATGTGTTGGGTGATGAATGTCCCACGTCAGCTAATTTAGGGAATGATCATAAGTTTATAATCAAAGAATACTCTTTTCATCCTCTAAATAGATAATTTTATCCATATATTTACAATAAAAATTTTAATTTTATTTTTTAAATATAATATTAAAATTGAAGAGTATATTTTTATTAAGATAAAAATATAAAATTTAGGGTTTTTTTTAAATAATTTTGTCTATTATTTTTGTTTGCATGGATGAAATAATTGTGCCCACAAATTAGGATCTACCTCTTATCCAAGAAAAGAAACAAATTTAATTTTCCATATTTTTTCCATTTCCAATTATCCGCATAATTTTTTTTGTAAAATTGAATGGCATCCGGAGGCCATTCCGGCGAGCTTCCCGAAGTTCTGGTTCTAGGGTTTCCATGGGTCTTACCCTCTCTGGAATCCCAATTCTCCAACAGATTTCATTTCCTTAAACCATCCAATTCCGACCTTCCTTTACTCCAATTCCTCTCTTCTTTCGCCCAATCCGCCCGAGCCCTGCTCATCCCCGGCGGCGGCATCCAACTCACCTCCGCCATTCTCGACTGCCTCCCCGCGCTCAAGCTCGTCGTCACTACCAGCACTGGCCTCGACCACCTCGACTTGCCGGAATTACGCCGCCGTGAAATCGATATCGCCTATGCTGGAAACTTGTTCACTCAAGATGTCGCCGATTTGGCGGTTGGATTACTGATCGATGTTCTTATGAAAGTTTCGGCTGGTGATCGGTTCGTGAAGCAGGGGATTTGGCCTTCCAAACGGAAATTTTCCCTCGGATTAAAGGTCCTATTATTTATTTATTTTTAAAAGCTAAAGCATTTTAAATTTTGTTTAAATAAAAAATATATATAGTTAGTTCTAAAAATACCCTTAAAAATAAACTTTAGTTAGAGTTTTTAAAAATAAAAATAAAAAAAAAAGTTAGTATACCGATGAAAACCATTTATATCTCCATTTTTAATTTTAAGGTAGTTTTGAAAATTCCTAGGTATTTTTTAAACTGTACGACACGTCTATCTACGCCTAGTGTATTAGGGTATTAACAGTTGTTATTTTTGAAAACTCCTAGGTATTTTTGGAACACGTCTAATCTGTCTATCTACACCTCGTGTATTAGGGTACTAACGGATGTTATTTTTTAAAATTCCTAGGTATTTTTGAAACACGTATGACTCGTCTATCTACACTTGGTGTATTACGGTATTAACAGTTGTTACTTTTTAGAACTCTTAGGTATTTTTGAAACACGTCTAATGTGTCTATCTACACCTCGTGTATTAGGGTACTAACGGATGTTATTTTTAAAAATTTATAGGTATTTTTGTAACACGTATGACCTGTCTATCTACCCCTGGTGTATTAGTGTATTAATCGTTGTTATTTTTGAAAACTCCTAGGTATTTTTTAAACACGTCTAATCCGTCTATCTACACCTCGTGTATTAGGATACTAATGTCTGTCTATCTACACCTCATGTATTAGGGTACTAACGATTGTTATTTTTTTAAATTTCTAGGTATTTTTGAAACACGTCTAACCCGTCTATCTACACCTCGTGTACTAGGGTACCAACGGTTGTTATTTCTTAAAAATCTTAGGTATTTTTTAAACATATCTAACTTGTCTATCTAGACCTCATATATTAAGATATTTTTTTTAACACGTCTAATCTGTCTTTCTACACCTCATGTATTAGGGTACTGACGGTTGTTACTTTTGAAAATTTCTAGGTATTTTTGAAACACTTCTGACTCTAGAGTACTAACCATCCGAGACGTGGAATTTTAAAATTTAAATTTACTATCGAAAAATGACCGAAACATAAAATTTTAGTTCGTTCGAGTGATATTTTAAGGTTATAAATGATTGACAGTTAAGCGGCAAGCAAATTGGGATAGTTGGATTGGGGAAAATAGGCACAGAAGTAGCCAAAAGGCTGGAGGGTTTTGGGTGCAGAATCTCATACAACTCAAGAACCAAAAAGCCATTAGTACCATACTCCTACTATTCCAATGTACATGAACTTGCAGCCAACTGTGAAGCCCTCATCATTTGCTGCGGCTTAACGGCCGAAACCCGACATATGATCGACAGGGACGTGATGGTTGCGTTAGGCAAAGATGGAGTGATAGTCAACGTCGGCCGAGGGGCGATCGTCGACGAGACCGAGCTGGTTCGACGCTTGATTCAAGGGGAGCTTGGAGGAGCTGGGCTGGATGTGTTTGAGAATGAACCTGAAGTTCCTGAAGAGCTGTTTAATCTTGATAATGTTGTGTTGTCGCCTCATGTTGCTGTCTTAACAACTGAATCTATGGTGGGATTGACTCAATTGGTGGTCGAGAACTTGGAGGCGTTTTTCTCGAACAAGCCTTTGGTGACTCCGTTCGAGGATTATTCGAGTTGAACGGTATAAAAATGTTTTTGAATTTTAGACGTTTAAAGCTTCGTTTTAGTCATTGAACTTTTCGATCGTTTCAAACAGTTATAATTGTGTCGTAGATGATGTACTATATGCTCACTACAACATATCCGAGATTTTGTGACTCGGGAAACTTGTCACCCACATTTTGTGACGTTTTTTAGTTTTTTTTAATCGACCATAAAAAAGGGTACTAACATTTGACGAGAAAAACAAGTTGAGCTTAAGGTTTATAGGTCAATTTTAGATCCTGTAACGGATCGGACCTATAGTTTACCGATTAGCATTGCCACTCAACTTGATGCTCGTGCATGACATGTTTTTCTGTTTCTATGCTGCGTAATTATGCATCGGACCCTTCACAAGTGATAAAATATAAAGTACCATCCTTAGAGATAAGAAGGAATGAAAACGTCCTACCCTTAACGGCCTGGAGAATTATACAGGGTAAAGTCCAAAAGCTTTGAGAATCTCACTATGAGTTTTTTGTGACTTTTCTCCGTAATTAAGAACGGAAATCTTAAACTTTTCATGAAAGTTCCCGAACATTCAATTTTGTATTTAATACATTAACGACACATTTAATTTTTTTAACTCATCAATCAATTACAATAAATTTAAAAATTTAAAATTTATTAGATAAATCTTAAAATTTATATTATATATATATATATTTTTAAAGTTTATAAATTTTAATTTATTATGTATTTTTTTTTCTCTCAAAGATATTATCATAGTCAACCAATATTATTAAGTAAATAAAAATAAATAATTTCCGTACCATAATCACGTGTTATGGAAAATTTTAAAAATAACTCACACGTGTATGCACGTGCCAGTATATTCGTTTTCTTAATAACGGGGATTTCCTTTTATAGAATAATAATAAATGAAAAAATAAATATTCCCGGGAAAATGACGGGTCGCGGACTCATAGCCGCCGCAGAGAAATTGGGCATTTTCTCATCCATTCATTGGCCTCTCTCTTTCTCCCTTCCTTCTTCCCATCCCATCAATGGCGGACCACGATCTCACCTCGCCGCTGCTCCCCGCCGAGCCCTCAGACGGCGTCGAGGTGATGCTCAGAATCGAAGACGACGACGGCGGTCCACCGGAGCAGATCAATAATCAGAACGGAAACCATCACGATCATCCTCGATTATACTGTCGCAATCCTTTTGCCTTTCTTGGCTCTGATGGATTCTCCGTTCCCGAGTCGACAACGGTCGATCCGTTTCGGAATAACACGCCGAGTATCGATGGGGTTTATGAGTGGGTTAAGATTGTGGTTTGCATACCTATTGCGCTTGTACGTCTTGTTCTGTTTGGGCTATGTCTTTTGGTTGGATATTTAGCCACTAAGGCGGCGCTTCACGGGTGGAAGGATAAGGAGAATCCGATGCCGAAGTGGAGGCGTAGGCTTATGGGAGTTACGAGGCTTTGCGGGCGGTGTATTCTCTTTTCTTTTGGGTGAGACATGCTTCTGGTTCTTGTTTGAATTTCATCTATTTATACTGAATTTCAATTTTGCTGTGTTTGTTGGCATTCTTAACGACGATCTGTCCTTATTCAATTGCTGCTGTATTTGCATTGTAGCTATACTATCATCTCTCGATGTGTTGGCTATTTTGTATGTTATCTAAACTTCATTTGAAGATTATTGCAAGTTATTGGAATGAGTAGTGGATTAATAAATTTCTGAAATAAAAATGACTAGAATTCTCTCGTCAAGTCCTAAAATCTTACTGGATGTCTTTGAATTTATTAATACTTTCAAGCAAAACATAAGAGGAAAAGGAAAATTTCTTGCACGGGTTCTGTTTGATTGGTTATCTCTTCTGTTGAGCGCAGACTATGTTAATTTATATATAATGTTGTTTGTCTACTACTATTTTTCTAATTTAATGATTATCTTTTGTTTGTCTTTCTTCCTCTGCTTCAGATATCAATGGATAACAAGAAAAGGGAAGCCTGCTCCAAGGGAAATTGCTCCAATTATTGTATCAAATCATGTATCTTATATAGAACCTATCTTTTATTTTTATGAGTTATTTCCAACTATGGTCGCAGCTGAATCCCATGATTCCATTCCCTTTGTTGGGACCATTATCAGAGCTATGCAGGTCATTTCATGGCCTTTACCACTCGATTAACTCTTTCCAAGTAAAGATGCATTACCTAATTGAATACCTGATAAATGTTCATAATCAGTGTTTTTAAAGCTCGTTGTGGGCTATTACTGCTAGGTGGAAAAAAAAAAATTGGTTTTTTATTTTTAAAATGAGACAGACAATAGAAAAATATAAATAACTTATGTATGTACAACAAAAGTAGTATCAAGAATAATAAGATGATGAGAAGCTGTAGAGATTTTATTTGAGATTGATGGGGAAAATGAATATTTTTAAAGAATATTCATGAGTTTCTTCAAGTTAAAAAGATTTAAATTTGGCTTGAGGGGCCAAGGCACACACCAGAAGCCTGAGGCATGCCTTCATTAAGGGAGCCTCGCTTCTTTGATGTGAGGTGTAGGGGCCGGGCCTAGGACTTATGCACCTGACATCTTAAAACAATGTTCATAATTAAGTAGGTCATCTAGTTATTAAATGCTGTACATTAATTTATTGTTTACATTTCTCAGGTGATATATGTAGATAGGTTTTCACCTACATCAAAGAAGCATGCTATTAGTGAAATAAAGGTAAAAAGTTTCTGTAACTTTTACATGTACTTATACATCACTTTGTGTATAATACCCATGTTGATGAGCATTGTTGTATGAGACATTGTTTATTGACTTGGGGCTTTAATAAAAAAAATTCTTATTTCTTTTGAGAATAAAAACGTTTGGTGTGTGCTTCAATAAGGGCCCTTAGCTTCCAGGTCTTCTTTGTATTACAATGGTTGGTGAATCACTTTTGAATCATTTTGTTTACAATTTCTCATTAAAAATTTTGAAGCACCTCTTTATTTGATTACTTACAAGTTGCATTATATTTTATATAAATAATGCATCTAGTTTTAGTTAAAGTATTATTTTTTTAAACTATGGTCAAAACTTGTACACTTGGTTTATTACGAGGGCATGGTGAATGAATGATCTAGTATCCCTTCCCATTTTTTTCTTGTTTGATTATCGACTTGGATCAACATGTTAAGATCTTTGATAGAAAACTATGCTTTCAAGGATGTGAAAACAGAGAAAGGCTTCTTGCAATAGATTTCCAAGAGTTCTGTTATTTCCAGAGGGAACCACTACAAATGGAAGGTCTCTTATTTCTTTTCAACTTGGTGCTTTTCTTCCTGGTTATTCAATCCAACCTGTCGTTGTTCGTTATCCTCATGTTCACTTTGACCAATCATGGTAGGTTCCCATTGCTCATTTAATTTTTTTCATTTAGTGCCAACTCTATATCTTACTGTGTTGTTTGTGAAATTCTATTTTGCCTAGGGGATTTGTTTCTTTGCCAAAGCTCATGATTAGAATGTTCATGCAATTTCACAATTACTTGGAGGTATTCTTTTTTCTATGGTTTTTTGTATCCTGCATCTGTTAAAAAACTTTTGATTTCATTTGATCTAGGCAATGTTAAAGTCACATTTTATTATCTGACCAGGTTGAGTATCTTCCTGTTATTTCACCGCGATATAATGGAAAAGAAAGCACTCTTGAATTTGCTAAGAGAGTAAGGTTCTACTTATCTGAGTTCATAATTTCTTTTTTTACTTTCTTGTACTTTCTTGTTCATCTTCATTCTCGATCTTTCTCCACTGGCAATCCTATGGAAGTGAGAGTATGTGTACTAAAAGTGTTGTTGAGGCAAGACCACGCGCTCGCCTATGAGGCGTAGTGAGCGAGATAAGGCGTTAGAAAAGAGTGCATGTTATTTTTCCTCATGACTAACAGATGGCTTCGAATAAATATAATTCTGGCACAATCTTCTTTCCTGACTAAAGACGACTTAATTTCTCCATGACAAATGCTAGTTGTATTTGAACCTTGTGTTGTCTGATCGTTAATCATAACAATGTTCCTCATATTTAAAGACAAAATGTCCCTACTTTTTTTTAGCCTGAATATGTCCATTTCTCATAATTATTTAATTAATTAGTGTTGTTAATGTTTTTATGCATTAAAAGGATATATTTTTTTTTACTTACTGTTGTTGTAGATTGGATTTATTTAGTATTTTATTAAGTGCACCTTCCTTCACTCAAGCGGCACCTTTTTGTTGCCTCTCTCCTTGAGATGATTAGGAAATTTATTACCTTAAAGTGTTCCTTGGAGTTTTTAAATTTCTCTCACTAAAACCATCAGTCTGAACAACTTTCTCTCTGCATATTGACACTATCTCAGATCGCCAATTCCTTAATTCTTGTTAAAAGCAGCTATCATCTCATTTTTAATGCTCCTAACTCTTCTTTACCCTGCACTTCCAAGTTCCAGTTTGTTTTGGATGAATATAGCTCCCTTTGAATCTTGTACTGCACTTTCCTTACTCGAGGATTTGAACATTGATTCAAATTAAGGTGGTTAATCGATAAATTTCAAGACCTAAAAGAATCGAGGATACTTGAACATGGATAAAAAGTACTCATATAAGTTCATAACTAAGGCTTATTGCCTAATAGGGTGGAGAACCACTTGGGAAGTGGACGGTGTGTATGTTGGAATTATTTTTTACTTAATCAAATTCTAGTACATGTCTTTTATAACCTAATAACTTATTTGCTTGGTTACTTATTCTATTTTGCACAGTTCAATATTTTTTCTTGTTGAGAATTGAAAAATTATTCGTGCAGACTAGCCTTGCAATGGCCACTGCTCTAAATGTTGTCCAAACGGCTCACTCATATGGAGATTTAATGCTTCTAACCAAGGCTGCCGAGGCAAATCAAGTATGTATATATTTTTTTTCTTTCTAATGTTGCATTTAATATCTTTGTTCTCCCCAATAATTCACATTTTACTCTTGTGCTTCTCTTTGAACCTTTTTCTACAAGAAACATCGAAGATATAATAAACAAAAAACTGGAAAGACAGCCCAAGGGCCAGGGGATGAGGGCCTCCCCCGCCCAAGGAAACCACTACAAAATGCCTTCCAATCAAGAAAAATGGAAGTGAGAGGATAGTAACAGTAGTGCT